ATACTACATGTGCATTACTTTTAAGTCACTAGGTTACGGAAATTGTTACAGCAACGTGGACATTAATGCACTATGCTTACAATCTTCCTCTTTCTGCACAAACACACACTCCACAGGTCGGTGAATTCCCAAGTTTGAACCGTGTGTGTCCTGGGGTCACCACGCCCTGGTGTCAGATGGATGCAGCACAGGGTCTTCATGCCGAGAGAGTGTCTTCAGTCACGCAGCCTCAGACTGAATGCTCTGTGGTGGCAGCTGCAGCCGCACATCCCCTCCATGGACACTCATGCTGCGGGGCTGCTTTCACAAGGACTCTGGTCTCTCGTCCCCACAACATGATTTCATGCCCTTCTTCATGTGAGGACGGTCCTTGTCTAACAGGCACTATCGACAACCACTGTGAACTAACAGCAGGCCAGGCTTGTGAATCCCTGAGTTTGGATACTGAGCCAGCACCGACCTTGTGGCACGACAGGCCTGCAGGGAAGGGGTGAGTGTGCTGAAAGGAATGGAAGTATCGCACAAAGTCGTGTAAGTTGAATAGCGTCCTCTCTAAAGAGTGTTCAGAAAAGATGAAGACTCGTCCACAGGACAGTGTTAACAAGAGGGCAGGATCTGGATGTGTCAGCAAACTCACCTCTTTCCCACAGAGACTCAGGGCAGGGTTGGCCTGGGTCTTGTTGGAACAATGACAGTACAAGGTGGCTCCTGAAGAGCTGGCTCTATGGAGCAGGCCCAGGAGAAGGTGGGGGATGAACTGAGCATGGGTGGTGCCCGTACATGGCCTGTACACCCAGAACAAATGACACCAGACTTTTACACAAAACAGGAGCACATATAGCCATCTATAAACAAACTTGCAAACATCATCACAAACAGGACGAACCAAGGTCCAGAGTTGAACCTGAGAACAGGCTGACCCGGCCACAGCAAGCACTTCATGCCCGCAGAACTGAGACAGGACAAGTCTAGATGATGTCTGAGGGCCTGTGGTCACAGATGCTAATGGGACATGTCGCTGCTGAAGGAACAAAGACAACAGAGACATCAAGATAACCCCGCTGAGTAGTGTCCACCAAACTCACATTGTCCTGAGCACTGGCCGGGTCCCGGCCCCACCCATGCTCAGTTCATCCCCCACCTTCTCCTGGACCTGCTGCATCGAGCCAGCTCAAGATACACATAGAATCTGCAATATTCTTGAGATGTTATTTGTTTCTCTTTTAAAATTGCAGCATATTCTCAGTTTCATTAACCCATCAACCCCTCTCATGGTAAACGTGAATGACCGACTTCATGATCAGGTCCTATTTTTCAAAAGAGAAGTGGGACAAAGCAGTGGAGAGCAAGGGAAGTAACCTAGGGATGGAGATGCTCTAGCACAGATGGGGATACAGGGACAAGGGTCAGTAGGGGGTGGGGGGGCCCAGGTGTGGGGGGGATTTGTCCCACCACATCCTCACATCATGCTTATAGGAATGCAGACACCTTGAGACGCCGGTTGCAGAGAGACAAGTCCAAGGTTCTTCAGTCACAGAGCAGGCTGTGAACACTCCTTGTCGCTCTGCCGCACACAGGAAGGACTCAGGCTGCAGAGAAAGAACCACAGACAAATCCAGGTCAGTCA